CCCCGCCCCACACCGAGGCCCCAGACTCGCTCAGGTCTGTGGGACCCCCCGCTGACCCCCCGCCCCACACCGAGGCCCCGGACTCAGACTCACCTGCAGGAGGAGCCGGTGGATCCGGCTGCTCAGCTCGTGGATCTCGGGGACCAGCGACCGCACCTCCCCGTTGAGGGGCGGTGTGAACACGTCCTCGTTCAGGGGGCTCCTGGGGTACAGGGGGAACAGGCACAGAGGTCAAGACTCTCCCTCCCTTCTTGCCCTGGTGTTTCCTTGCTCCTTCTCAGAGGGGGTCCCTACAGGAGGAGTGGGGTGCCTCTCACTGACACACTGTGAGCCTCCCCAGCACCTGACAGGAGAGGGGTCCCTACTGGAAGAGTGGGGTCTTTCTCACTGACAGACTGTGAGCCCCCCACCATCTGAAAGCAGAGGGGGTTCCTACTGCAGGATTGGGGTGTCTCTCACTGACACACAGCCTGGCACCCACATGGGGCACGGCCTGCAAGGGTAGCTGTGGAACACTCACGTGCGGACTTTGTGCCGGCCGATGATGAAGGCCACCTTGCGGCTCCAGGGGTTGATGAAGCTGGACCAGCTGGTGTCGATGGTCAGGTACTCCCCGCTGCGCGCACACACCCGCATGGCGGAGTGGTCCAGGGGCTGGCCGGCCAACTGCAGGACTGCAAGAGGGAGAGGGTCTGACTGAGGGGCCAGCGCTGACCTGTGGTGGTGTGGTGGACAGAGGGAGACTCCGACCAGACTGAGGGGTCAGCGCTGACCTGTGGTGGTGTGGTGGACAGAGGGAAACTCCAACCAGACTGAGAGGTCAGCGCTGACCTGTGTGCTGCAGAGAGAGAGAGTCTAACTGGACTGAGGTGTCAGCGCTGACCTGTGTGGTGGACAGTGGGAGAGTCTGACCAGGCGGATGGTCAGTGCTGACCTGACAAAGGCAGGGAGAGGAAGAGGGGGCGGGGGCAGGAGGAAACTCACTCTTCTTATGAACAGCCACCATGGCTGGCCGATCCTCGGGGTGCAGGTACAGCAGAACTGGGGTCCCCACTAGGTCCTGAGGAAGGTACCCCAACAATGGCACTGCACTGAAAAATAATAGGCAACCACCATTACACAAACTTACACAGCACACAGCACACCATCATGCAATGATACACGACCGCAGTCGTACAAAGTTACTACGGTCACATGGCAGAACAAACATACCGCTCATCCACCTCCTGAAAGAGACAGCTGGGGGTGTGGCTCGTGGTGAAGATTCGCTTGTCTGGGGGAATGCGGGGAGCTGAGGGGGAGAGAGAGGGGTTAATACAGACACACTGGACA